CGTATATCAGAAACATATCAACTTTTTGTCCATTTGTAAATTGATTATTGTTTTCCATGATAATCCAAACAGATAACACGACAAAATCGATAATCAAATAAAAATGTTCAAACTGTCAGAATTTTCAATCATGCCGACTTGATGATGAATAATAGAAGCAAGGCCACCTAAGTAATGCAATGCAATAAATGCACTATATTTTTGGTCGTAGAGTACCTAAGTATCATCAGCATAAAAGTATGCCGTGATATTTTTCATAAACGGGACAAAATTGCTGGTGTAAATTGTTAATAAAAGATGCCCCATCTTTATTAACATCTTATCTCGACATATTGCGATTCGATTTTATGTCATCCAAAATACTCAAAAAGCGCCGTTACACAACACAAATGTTCAGACCGATATCCTGATTGGTTAACAGGCAATATGATATTTGTTTCTCTTTTTTAGTAGTTTTGATAAGCAGATTTTGTTATTTTTGGCAAGTTTAGGTACACGTCAAATTTTCCTTTCATGTGGAAATGCTGTTATTAATTTATTTATTTTGTTAAAAAGTATTAATAGTCCGTTGTGTGTTTTTTTAATAGGGAGGTTTTATTATTTATCTTGACGTTAGGATGTTATGTCATTTCATTAAAACTGTAAAATTAAAAAGAACAGTCTCCAATTTTTTGTCGGAAGGACACTAACTAACCAAAGCTTAGCAAAACTAACCGAAACTAACTAACTAAAAACCAGAAGTTTTCAATTTAACCAGTGCAGTGGCGACCTAATTAATAAAAATATTATTTGATCATAGACAGTCAGTGGCACGCTACTGATTTCCTTAAAAAAAAATTAAGATTGTTGCGTTTGTGTCACATGAGGAAGGGGTTTTAGTCAACCGTCTACTGTGATAACTTGCATTGTCCATTACAATGACGCTATTAAGAGGAATGTTTGGAACTAGTTTGTTTTTAAACCAACTTTCAAATAAATCAACGGTAGTGTCTTCATGGTAATCTAGAGAAGAATCTTTAATATTTTTCGCAGAGAGAGAAATTCCGTTTGGAATCCAACCATCTTTAGAGCCAGCATGCAAAATAGTTATTCTTTTACCTCTTTTTGATGGCGCGTTTGTTTTACACTTATCAGTTGAGTCCACCCAACCCTTTTCCGGGGTATCATAAGTGTCGAATCGGGTTTCATCCAAGTAAATAATTGGCCTTTGTGGTTCTCTGTAAATCCTAATTTTTTGTAGATATTCCAGTCGCCATTTCCGAATTCTAAAAGATTCCATTAAAACTTGCCTTTGGTCAATTTCTTTAAATCTAAAACCCATGTGTTGAATACACTTCCATAAGGTGGTTCTGCCACATTTTACACCGCTTTCATCTTTTTCAAGCCTCCTAATTAAGATATCTAATGTAGGCACGCTTTGTTCCTCGTATAACTGATTAATTTTACGTCGTATTATATCTTGATCACTTTCATCTACACTGGAGAAAATGTCAGCATCGCTTCTTTTTTTCCTCGCTGAAATGGGATTATTCACAATTTTCCATACAGGTGATGTTGGAATTTTCGTCAATGTGACCGTTTCTTCTAAAGACGCTTGCTTGCTGGCACCACGTTCAATGAGAGTCAAATGAACTTCCTTAGTCTCATTAGAATAGTGTTTTCTCCATTTGGGCGGGAGCATCTCCTGAGATACACTAGACTCGCACATATTTTGCATAATTCGCACACGATTCAACACACGAAATAAGAATGATTACTAATAAACTTGAACTAAGTAGTATACCAAACCAAAGAATATTAAACACAGGTAGGTATAAAATTATTTTCTATTAAGGTAATAATCTTGTTGCACTGTATGTTAATGACCACCCTTGCATAATCCCATTCAAAAGCAATTGGTCACTTTCTTATATCTATAAACAGGTCATACACTAAACAACGCCTCTTATTACATAATACATTTGCGCCAAATTTATTATTAAAATTATTGACGTTCTGTATGAACAGTTACAGAGTGGAAAGCTAGCTAGTTTTAGTCAAGCTCTGAAGAAGCCAACAAATATCATTACAGGATTTTTTTCATTCTTTTTTGTCATCCGAAAAACAAATCTTTTTCTCAGTTGTTTTCCAACTTTTTTTTGCTAAAAATACATTTTATGCTGACGTAAAATTACGGTAATAAAATATGAAGTCAGGGTAGCCAATTTAAAAAATACCAAATTTCACTATCTACCTTAAGCCTCAATGTCGATAAAGCAAATCGACATTGCTATATCGACATCTAATGAAAATTCTTTTCCGCGTTGATGCAGCCATCTCGCGTATATATTCGATACACGCGGGCACAATGGAAAGTCATTACCGGCTAAGTAATTACGCATTCCTTGTATTTACCGAAAGCTTCAAGTGCGTAACCATGGCGTTAAGAGGGGGCGGGGGGGACGGAAGGCTCAGGGGAAGCCGCTCTCCGCTCGTCAGCTACTGTATTGTCATAGGAACTGAAGTGCTCGGCAAACAAACCGAGTCTCGTACAGTGTATTTACTGAGGCCGCCTGTCTGCCCGTCATGTTGTACGGAGACGCGAGGGCCGCCTTAGCAATACTTATTGCCGTATAATATACACTCACTCGCAAAAGTTTATATTAACTCGCTGACAAATTATTTTATTGCATTTCGATAAACTCTTCTGGTATCGATCAAAGATGCCTGAAAGGCAGCGTGAAGCTAACGTTATGGGCCTTTCAAAAACACAGGACGATTCATTGTACACAATTTAATTAGAACAAGAAATGTTTAGATTTTCACAGTTATTTATTGGTTTATGGCGGCTGTTTCGGCAACGCATATATAGGGTGTCCCACGACATGACGGTTATTGCTTGGGAGTGTGTTACTAGCGTGATTTCAAGTTGAATATGTCAAATGAACATACATTTCAAAGAAACCCGTATTTATATTTTATATTTTATATCATTCAATTATTTGTTCAAAATGTTGCTACATACATAGTCTAGCTGTTCTTAGAATAGGGAACTTGAACATTTTTTTATTTCTGCAATGCATTTGTTTATGCATAGAAATAACGCATACCAAATATAAAAACTCAAATCCCAATGTTTAACTTGCAATAAATAGTTCAAGTTGTGACACCCGGCAATTCCTTTTAAACGACACTAAAGGCGCGGGAATGCTCGTGACGTCATACCGCTGCTTTTCGATCGATTTGGCGACGTATAATAGTACTTTTTACAAAACTTCTGGATTCCTCCTGCGTCGGTTTTTGCTGAGTCGAACTTGCTGACGTTGCGCCAATCATCCTGTTGGCTTCTTCAGAGCTTGACTGAACCTGGCTCGTATTTTACTCTATACCAGCTTATATATTGTTTGAGGGGTGCGGAACTAAATGCGGCATAAACTCCGCCTCGGATGACTGATTCCCATATTGGTGACAGGTAGAGACCTGAGTTTGATGTTATGTTCGCTAACGTTCTTGGTGAATCTATCTTTTCTAAGTGGGCAAGATTTGCACGCTTTGGGTATAAGGGATACGCCTCTAGACTGGATCAGTAGTTTTTTAGAAGATCGTTCTTAATTTGTATCCTTTAATTTTTATAACGGTAAGAGAATTGAAAATGAAAATTCAGCTAGTCCACACATAGAGATGGGTGTCCCTCAAGGTTCAGTTTTAGGTCCCGGACTCTTCATATTATATGTAAATTGTATTTTTTGTTATATGTGCTGATGATCTTTTGTATGACGATGGTTTGGAAAAATTAATCTGTATTTCAACACAAGTAAAACCCAAACTATAAGGTTTCATAATTATCAGCAACAATGTGATAATTTTAATTTTAATACCTGTGTAGGTAATGACACTATCGTAAGTAAGGATACTGTGAGGCTCCTAGGATTGAGTTTAAATAGTGTATCTTTTTATAAATCTTCGTGAGATTTTAGCTAGGCAATGGTTGCCTAAGTTATACTGTGCGAATTTGTTGGGAGCATCCGCAAATGCCGAGAAAGTATTTTGGCTTTCTATCTTATTTTCCCAGTACAAAATTGTCATATTGGCGAGTCAATTGATTTTTCAAATGTCGTTGTATGTTTACAAGACATAGCGGTAAGCTGCATGTGCCCTACTGTAGGCTGTCGACGACTTCGAGGTCACCTGATTATTTGGGCGTTCGTATTTTTAATAATCTGCCATTAGAGTTAAAAGACAAAGATTTAAAACCTATTTTTGTTATCCAAAACATTTTATAGTCTAGACGAATTTTTTTGAGTAAATGTTTTTTTATATGACAATTCTTACACAATTTTGTAGTTGTCTTCGGGAAAATAAATACTATTTTTATTATTATTATTATATTACAATTTTTCTATTATTAATAATATGTTATAAAATATACCAAACCCAAAGGTTTTGTATAGTTGGCTCAACTGAACATAACATGGTAGATAAGAAACGATATTGACTTATTTTTTTGAGTTTTTTTGCTCACTAAATACTGGAAATCAGAACCTTCAGATATAGGACAGTCCATTGGATGATGTCTATTTCCTGCTGTGCTCTTAAACCAGCTAACTATTAACCAGCTTTCTATAGCTAACCCTCTGAAAGTACTTTTTTGTGTATTAATTATTTCCCCATATTTCTATTATTTTTAGGCCAACAGTTTTTATTTGGGAAATATATATGTCATATAGAAAACACATATGCAGTATCAACATGCATATTTTATTGTTGCTCCAAAAATAGATAGAAAATTAAATGCAAATATCGATAGTTATCTAGAGGGATAGAAATCAGCGTGCAATCAACTCGAAAGATCGTTGTAATTTGTTAAAATGATGATGATGATATTTCCCAGAGATCGCGTTGTCACCTATCGTGAAAAAAAAAAACAATAAATAAATAAATAATTATTATGTTATTAGAATTTCGTACCAGTGTGCGGCGCGTTCAAAAACGATCATGCAAAACCGCCTTTTCCCCTTCAGTTTCCAGGCTGATGGGCACGTCAGCCGCGTCGGCCAACATGGGCCACGGATTGAACGCTGCCGGCATGCCTGGCCTGGGCGCATGCGCGGGAGTGGCCGACACCAAACCGATGCAGTTCCCGTTGGCGCAGCGACGCAAGAGGCGGGTCCTTTTCACGCAAGCCCAGGTAAGCGTTCGACTTGGCCTGCCCGACGGCATTTTTTACGCGATGCGTTCTCGCCCCGCCCGCCCCACCCCGACGAACCGTTCGACGGTCGACGACCATGGCAACCGCGATGGTCACGAGCGCGAAACCGACCCGGCTTGCTTGATCCGTCGGCAAATGAACGTTTCATGGTTTGTGGTCCGTCGCGTCGCGTTTTCACCCGTAAGTTAGGTTTTCTATGAAATTTCGTGGTCGGAACACGGTTCGGATTTCGTTTTTCATGTGCTAAGTGCGAGGGACCGACGAGTAAGTATACTTCCATCAGAAATATAGCGCTTTTACAACCGACCCCGTGATGAACTGTGCCTATTGTTTATTACTCCAAAACCGCAGCCTCTTATACAACACCTGTCATTCCAGGGCCTTCCTAGGAATTTATCTACCTACAATCACCAGGGGGATATAAGTATGTTTTCAATCTTTTTTTGCCAAGCAATTCTTGAAACACGTACATTAAACAATTAGTGCAAAGTAACAATTTATTACGTTTTTCTACATGTTATCATTATTAATATACATAATATTAAATATAATCTCGATAAATAATTTCTTCTTTTATTACTCGTTTTTCACAGTTAGACCAGCTTCGTACTGATATTTTAGCTACCTCTTGCCGAATTACCTTTATGGCACTATCACCAAATTTTGGTGCAGTGTTATTTCTTCTTATATGCGCTTTCAACTCAGACCAAATCATCTCAATCGGGTTAAATATACAATGATACGGGGGTAATCTCAAGATTTCATGTCAGTTTTGTTGTGCTATCGAATCGATTTTGTGGGCTTTATTAAAATGTCTTATTTTTAAAAATTCCATTTTTAGGTAGCTCTCTTCAAAATATAAAACATTTTCGTACACAAATTCTTTAATTTCTTCTTTATTTGAAAAAGTATTTGGAATATTTCTAAGTTGGACCGAATGATACGAGGCGTTGTCCAACACAATAACAGTATTTGGCGATAGTTTTTGCAACAGCTTATTTTCAAGCCAAATCCATTTTCTTCAGAAATGTACGCAACGACTGTTTGACACAACTAATGTTGATGTCTGTCAGTACTTTTTTATGCAGTTCTTCTAGGATTTAAACACTATTCGCTTGATAAGCGTCGTAAATTACACGCCTTATTAGATCTGCGTGTCGCCCTTGAAAAACTCTCACACTTTCCTCTTGACTATCCCATTTGAAACGATTTTTGATTTGATTTGTTTTTGTTGCGGCTCCTACTTCTCCTTTCGAATTTCTTTTAAAATTGTAAACATTCATAACAATTTGTTTGGCATCCGAAGACAAATGGCATCCGTTTTTTTTAATTGCTGAGGTAATTCGTCTTCTAAATTGTCATTAGGTTCGACCATCGGCCATCTCCACTTCGTCTTCGAATTTCGAAGAAATAAACCAAAGTAAGTTGACTTCAATACATCAAAAGTCACCATTCTGCGAAGTTAACGCAAAAGAAAATGAAAAGTTGTAGATTATTTGATGAAACCATGCTTTGGCCTTAGATAAAATACATGTTTCAATATTACTCAGGGTAGTGATGTTCCTGTTTGAATTAATAAACGTTGTACCGTCAGCAAACAGCACGATCACAGTATCAGGCATCATGTACTGGCAAATATCATTTATGTATGTAATAAAAAGGAGAGGTCCCAGAACGGACCCCTGGGGTACTCCAAACTCAACGCAAGCCAAATCAGGCTTATTGTTCTTAACGCCCACAAACTGTTATCTATCTGTTAAATGGGACTTAAAAAGTTTGATTGGAACACTACGCACTCCATAAAATTCAAGCTTGCTCAAGAGAATCTGATGAGAAACACAGTCGAAAGCCTTTGAGAGGTCGCACTGTGAAATCATTAAGTGTTCTTTCCTTTCCAGGCCTCCGACTATGTCCTCCACCACCCTCATCAAAGCTCTAGTTGTCGAGAACTTGTTTCTGAAACCAAACCGGGCAGAATCAAATAATTGATTTACTTCAACACATTTTTATAGCCTCTCTTTTATCAGGATTTCAAAAACTTTAGAGAAAACAACAATGATAGAGATAGGACGATAATTATCGACCATCTGGGGGTCTTTGTTTTTAAATTTTGGCGTTACATTAGAAATTTTTGAAAATACTTGGGAACATTCCTTCAGTAAAACAACAATTTATCAAATTAGTCAAAGGTTCTGCCAAAATATCCGCGGTCTCCTCGAGTATTTTGCTACTCAAGTCAAATGCATCAAGCGCTGATGAATTCTTTAAGTTCATTATTGTTGAAAAAACTTTTACTATGTGGAACTATGTGGAAGACACGCAAATACAAGAAAAAGAATGTTGGTAATCGGCAGCCACACAAGGCAAAAATAATTATTTTCAAACTTAACTGTAAGATTACAGGAACTTGCCCTTACCCTTTGAACTATCAAGTGAAAACAGCCTCGCAGGGTCAAACCTCGACAATCAGATACACAAATACGTGCTTACTGGAAGGATCACAGTCAAATATTTCCGTAATATATACGAGCAATTTAGATTAAACTCTTAAGAACGATATCACCTGATGTTACTTCTACTTATTGGAAAATACCCCGCAGCATCAATGCTTAATCAAATTTAAAAAAAAATAAATAAAAATTTCAAGTCTCTACAAATATTCGTTACGGTGCATCTCAGGCAAGGCCTACCTAATGCATATTAAACATCTGTTGGAATGGGTTTTACCACGGTCCTGCAAATGTCCGCTGTTAAAATGCTGTAAAATACTTAAATCGTCAAAACAATAAATGCACTATATTTTTGGTCGTATTATACTTATTTGTCCCAAATTTGGAGGGCGAGAGAATTCCACGTTTTGGACAGTCATAGAGCGGCCATTTCACGAAAAGGCAACTTCGGGCTATTTAAGTATAGTTGAGACCGGGGTTATTTGACTTATTTTAAAGGCTTTATTTTTTTTGCTATATTATTCATTAGTTTTTTTTATCATTTGGTTTAGGTAATATAATTTCTTTGTTTATTTAGGAGGGTATAATATTATTAAATTACACCATGGAAAAACAATGACATTGAATATAAACAAAAAAATCATGGCTAGGAATATCTATATACAATTACATTTTTATTCTAAATGTCTAAAATATAATAGAATTTATGTTTTTTCGTTTAGAAATATCAATTTTTATATTGTGCTGTACTAAATTTTTCCAGCTCTCAGTTGATATGAGGACTGGGACTAGTAGGAGTCACATTTTCTGCTCCCACCTTTGATTTGACTTGGTTAATCTTGCAGTGATATGAAGACGTAAAACAATATGCCCATGCCCATCGATAATGTTTTTTAATTGCATATGTATTTAGGACTTCCAAAAGTTGCGTTTTTTTGTAACTGCATTAAAAATAAGGATCATTTTCTAACAAATATTCCTGGATTTCAGTTTTTTAACTTGATGAGGCTGGTGCTTTCCGTCGGTAGCTGGTGTTATCCATGACGATAATATTATTTAAAAGATTGTTTTGAAGCCAATTTTCATAAAGTTCGGTACTGGTATCGTTATGATAATCCAAGCTGGATTCCTTAATATTATTTGCAGACAACAGCAAGCAGTTTGGGACAAATCCGTCTTCTGACCCAGCCCATATTATGTTGATGCGTTTTCCTTTATTTAAAGATGCTTTCGTCTGACAGTATAGAATGGAATCAACCCATCATTTCGTTACAGTATCGTGTGTATCGAATCATGTATGAATCAATGTAAATTATGAATCTGTTGTCTAATCTATATCTTTTAATTTCTTGAAGGTAATGAAATATCCAAGTGTTGTGATCCCATTACTACTTGCCTTTTGCCCATTTTGCGGTACTTAAACAAATTTTTACAAACAACTCTATGAATGGTGATACGCCTTATATTTATATTGATTTCATATTCTTCTAGCTTCTTTTTCAGCTTATCCAAGCAAGGGACAACTTGGCTTTGATAAAGACTGTATATTTTCCTTATTAGTTCCTGATCACTATTGTCTATACGGTTAGTTTGAAAATCAATACGTTTAGTCCTTTTATAATGTTCTACCTGTTTGTCCGATATAAATTTTGGGATCCACTTTTCAACTTGTAGCTCGATTTTTGAGTTTTTCGTAATGTAGTTTTATTGTTGTTTTTTTAAAAATGTCCTGTGATGTTGTCAGCAATATTAAGACCAAATTTAAATTGATGTTTCGAAATTTTCTTTCTAGGTTCTCCTATGGGTTCGGTGTTTAATATGAGATAGATAGAGTTCAAAACTGCATTTTAGTTATAATCTTATCTATCAAAGAGGGGTCGTAAATTTAACAATTTAACCCATTTAAATCCATAGGGTCCAATAAATTTAGTTTTTCATTTTTTAATTCAAATTGTCGTCAAACCGTGTTTTCAGTTTTAAAAGCAAGCTTAACATCAAACTTGCATATCCGCTTCGAACTTTCCTGGTTAGGTTCTCCTATGGATTTTATTGTGTTATAAATTTTGCAATTCGTGTTTAATGTGGGATTGAGTTCAGAGTTATTTGAAACTGTTTTTATTTATAATCTTATCTATCAATCATTGTCAAAAGCTATTGCTTTATGACATTTAATTCTTTTTCAAAATTTTCTGTAGATAGTGGTACATCAAGTAGTCTATGGATGAAAGCATAACAGGCAGCCATTTTGTGTGTGTAAGGGTGATTTGAATTGTTATGTATTATTGCATCCGTGTGTGAGGGTTTATGGTACATGGAAAAATATAATTTGTTCTGTAGGTCAGTTACAGTTATGTCCGGAAAGTTTAATAAGTTATTTAGTTCTTCATCTATATTAAATTTTGTAGGGTTATGTATGGAGTTAATATGATTCAAAAAAGACTGCAGTTGTCTTTCCGTTTCATTGAAACAAGCAAAAACTTCATCTATACCACCAAAGAAATCCTTCACTCAGAGGATGTTTCTGTATGATATTTTCTAAATTGTCCAGGGAAATTGCTGTAAATAGGGGACTAAGTGGGTTTCCCACAATTAATCCTTCTTTAGCAATATAAAATTGACCATTAATAATAATAATAAATAAATAAAAGACGTTTTATTATTATTATTATTACTATTACCAACATGAGCAAAAACTGTTGTGCCTTGAATCAATAGTGAAACCAATCGATCATCCAGTCACGCCCAACTTGATTACGCCCAATCAGTTCAACCTCTTCTTTTGCAATGTGGTCGAGGATCTAATCTCCACTATTAGAATACGTATCCAAAGAGATTCTCTACCAGTAAATCTCTCTTTCTGAATCCGGTTTCAAGAAGCGAAATATATGTCTCTAACATGAGTCACACCGAAGATGACATTGTGGGCCCTCTGACGGCTTATTCTCAAGTGACGAATTTCCATCTCAGCTGAAACAATCTAAAATAATTCCTGTTTATAAAAAAGGAGACAAGCACATTACAAATAACTTTAGGCCCATTGCAATTATCCCTATCTTTGGTAAAGTGATGGAGAAAGCCTAAAAACCCGCCTTTTACGATTTTTTGAAAACCACAAACTTCTGAGCGACTCTTCGTTCGGGTTTCGTGAAAAGAAATCTACGACCCATGCGCTCATAGACTTTGTGAGCAGGGTGGTCCGGGGATATGATGATGGTGAGATTTCGATGGCCCTTTTGTATGACCTTACAAATGCATTTGACTACGTAGTACTATTGAATAAATTAGAGTTTTACGGCGTCAGAGGTATCCCTCTACAATTAATAGAGTCATATCTAGACAGCAGGTTTATAGTGATAGCGTTCTGCCGGTAGTCTCCGGCGTTCCTCAGGGTTCGGTTCTGGGGCCGCTGCTCTTCATTATTTACATAAATAATTTGCCACTGTCCATACCCAATGCAAACGTGACCCTGTTCGTGGATGACACTGCCGTTCCTCTCAACGGCTAGGAATCACAGAATGCTTACTGAAAACGTTTATGAGACTGTGAGGGTCCTTCAGCGGTGGTTCTCTGTAAACAACCTAATTCTTAACCAACAAAAAACTCAACAACTTGTGTTCTCTTGTAGCAAAGTAGCCTTTCTTCGTCAAGACAATATCACACATTGACAGAACTCCGTCATGGATCGGCCACATCGACAAAGTGTGCGTCATACTGTCTCGGCGTTTGTTCCTGTTAAGACATCTCAGCCACTGTCTAACAAGGTTGGCCCTAAGAACGGCCTACATCTACAGATCTGTTTTATACGTTCATGATAATGCTGATTCTTATCGTACACTAACTAGTAGACATGAGTATAACACCAGGCAAGCTCGATCGCCTTGCCGTACTCCAGACTGATGTCCTAAACTAAGAACATCAATATTAAATTATATAATGTTCTCCCGAGAAGCCTTAAAAATCTATCAACCAGACAATTTAAGCAGAAAATGAATTTTTTTTTTACGGATTTCAGGCATAGATGTTTCGGCTGGATATGTGAGACCGAAAACCTACATTGAGTTATAATAAAACTCGGCTCTAGTGCCCCTACTCGCTAAACCCTAAAACCTCTTATCTTCTATCCTCTCATCCCTCGCGGACCCGCCTTTTAGGCATTACATCGCAGAGGGAGGAATTAGCTGCTGCTCTTCCTTCTGGTACCTAAGATTTCATATCTTCTTCTTTATTCTAGTGGACATTTGTTCTTCTCCTTTCAATGGAACGCAGTTCCGTAAGGACTTCCATGACAAACGAATTCATTGCGTTCCAGGCAGCTTCTGATGACATCATTGCTTCTACTATTGTCTCTGGTTGAATGTTCTTCTTCAAGTTCGTCTCCAGCTCGTCTTGTTGTGGATCAAATCGTGGGCACTCAAAAAAGACGTGCTCCGCGTCTTCACTGATTCCTGGGCAAGACGGGCACTTCGGTGAATCATCATGCTTGAAGCGATGAAGATACGTCCGAAAGCATCCATGTCCTGACAACATTTGCGTCATGACTCCGGTTCAGCCAAATGTCGATCTTTGGTATGAGACGGTATGTCCATCTTCCGTTTGCTGCGGCATCCCATTGCGATTGCCATCGTGTGATGCTGTTCTGCCGTTCTTCAGCTTTAAGTTCCTCGGCACTTAGTGTGGTTGACCTCTTTCGTTGGTAAAAGTTCCGTCTTTCCTCAGCTAGAATTCTGAGTGGCAAAGTTCCGGAAATGACACACACTGCTTCCTCCGATATAGTGCGGAAGGCGCTGGCTACTCTTACAGCACTTAGACGATATACTGGTCTAGCCTTTCTCCATGACTCTTGTAGCTCCAACGCATCTGTCCAAATGGATATTCCATAAGTAAGCACCGATGTGACAACTGATGATAGTAGTAGTCTTCGGCTCTGCTTTGGGCCGCCGACGTTAGACATCAGTCGTGCGAGACTAGCTCTTACTACTGATGCTTTGGTACCGACGTGTTCCACCTGTTGTTTAAAATTGAGTCGAGCATCAAGCATCACTCCCAAATATCGGATATACGGTTGTGATGTTATTTCATGTCTACCGACTTTTAGCTTGATGGTCTCTACTGCTTTTCTGCTAGTAATAGGCACTCTCTCAGTCTTGTGCTTCGACAGTCGGAGATTCATTTCGTTGATCCATTGGTTGACTTTGTCGAAGGTTATGTCGAACATATGGTTTATCGCGTCAAGATGTTTTGCGACGATCACTATGGCTACATCATCTGCATGCGCTACTAGTTTAACATTTCTCTTCAGTCTTACCAGTCCGTGGTACATGATATTCCACAGAAGTGGACCAAGAACAGAACGCTGTGGAACACCCCCGGTAATGTACTCTTTTGGACCATTCTTCGTGTCGTGTTTGAGAACTCTATCGGTGAAGTAGCTGTCCACTATCCTACATAAATACTCTGGAACGCTTTTCTCTCGAAGAGCTTGCATGATGCAGTTCCAATTTGCGGAATTGAAGGCGTTTTTGATATCTAATGCCGCCACCAGGCAATACTTCTTTGTGCCGCTCTTCCATCTGGTTCCTGCGATTGCTTCCTTAGCCATGCCAACAACCAGGTTGATCGCGTCCAGGGTTGATCGTCCTTTCCGGAATCCATACTGGTTGTCTGCTAGGAGTTGGTCATTTACTGCTTGTATTCGTTGATGAATTATACGCTCTAAAATCTTACCTACCGTATCTAACATGGAGAGTGGACTGTAAGATGACGGTTCATCTGGTGGCTTTTTTCCTTTCGGAAGCAGTACTAGTCGTTGCTGTTTCCACTTCTTTGGGAAAGTCCCTCCTTTCAGGCAGGTATTGTACGCATATAGGAGTAATGTCGGTGCTGCCTTTATAATGGTTGTGTGTGTGACTTTGTTATCTATATGTTTACTTTTCACTTTAAATATTATTTACATCTTATCTATTATTTAGAACTATTTTGCATAATTTAGTGCAATTTGTTTGTACCTTATTAATGTTTATTTTAGATATTTTTTCCACTGCGATAACCATAATAATTGTAATTGCCACACCCTTGACCTTTTGTTCCTTATCTGAATGGTTAATAAAATGCTATTCTATTCTATTCTATTATCTTGAAGAGACCGTATACCTAATACTTTAACGTTTGTTGTTGCAGGTCTACGAATTGGAACGAAGGTTTAAACAACAAAAGTATTTATCGGCTCCTGAAAGAGAACATTTGGCGTCATTGATCCACCTAACCCCCACGCAAGTAAGTTTTTCCGCCTAATAATTTCAATCAAATCGTTATGACGCGGCCAGGGGTGGCCCGAAACAAAATATTAAACGGCGTTTAATTGCCGACAATCCGGGTTTAATAAGGGATTAAGTTCCCCGGGGTCAGAAAACTGTAACTTCATAACTGACTGTATAAGGGTGCGCGGCGTCATGGAAGTTGACTGACGTTAATCCCCAATCACAATATTATTTCTTATAAAGTAAATACAAAGTTTTCACACGCTGCGGTGATATAGATCGGCAGCTGACAGATGACAGATCTCGCGTTGTCGCATTTTAGACCAAAAACTAGATATATATTTTGTTTCACATTTTTAGCCACTTAGAAAGAAAAGTCCTCAGATATTTGTATACCCCCCAAAGGAATATAATTTTAATCACGAGACGCATGCGGTAACATACATCGGCAGATGACAGATGACAGATCTCGTGTTGTCGCATTTCAAACCAAAAAACTAGATGTATGATTTTTTTTCTACATTTTTAGCCACTTAGAAAGAAAAGTCCTCAATTATTTCTATACAAACCTAAAAGTTATATTTTAATCACAAAATATATGAAAAGGTAAATGAAGTTACAAAAATAACAGCTCTTTATTTATTATTTCTTATAACGTGAATACAAAGTTGTCACATGCTGCTATAGATCAGTAGCTGGCCAATGTCGCAATAACCGTGTTGTCGCATTTTAGACCAAAAATTAGATGTATGTTTTCTCCATATTTTTACCCACCCAGAAAAAAAAACCTTAGATATTTGTGTACAACCCAAAAAGTTATAATTTTAATCACAATGTACATGACTCAGTAATATAAATCGGCAGATGACAGATGACAGATCTCGTGTTGTCGCCTTTTAGACCAAAAATTAGATGTATGTTTTCTCCATATTTTTACCCACCCAGAAAAAAAACCTCAGATATTTGTGTACAACCCAAAAAGTTATAATTTTAATCACAATGTACATGACGCAGTAATATAAATCGGCAGATGACAAATGACAGATCTCGTGTTGTCGCATTTCAGACCAAAAACTAGATGTATGATTTTTTTCCACATTTTTAGCCACGCAGAAAGCAAAGTCCTCAGATATTTGTATACAACCCTAAAATTTATAATTTTAATCATAAAATACATGAAAAAGTGAATGAAATTACAAAAATGACTTTTTACTTTTATTTTTTACTTATTATTTCTTATAGAGTGAATACAAAGTTGTCACACATTGCTATAGATCAACAACTGACCAATGATTGATCTCGTGTTGAACGTCCTAGATGGCACACGTGGGTAGATATTACATTAGAAGAATTTACCACATTTATTGGGGTACAATAACCTTATCTAATATCCAAGAATATTGGTCACAACAGTTTAACGCCAAAATACCTCTTTTTAGTAGCATATTTAGAAGAGAACGATTTTTACAAATTTTTTGGATGTTCCACTGACTCTTAGGGCTCGAACTCAAAAAGTTTTAGATTATTTGGACCAGCAATTCATAGAACATTTTGCTCCATCAAGAGAGGTATCGGTAGACGAATCTGTTTTTGGATTTAAGGGTAAAATTAGCCTACGAAATGGGGGATAAGAATTTATGTAATGGCGGATGCTAACACATATATATTTATTCAATTCAAAATTTAGTGGGACCTGATTTACCTATTACATCTGTGTCAAAAATTATTAGACAATAACCCAGGATGTAGGGGATATCATTTTTACCCCGATAGATACTATACGAGCTTGCTACTTGTAGAAGAATTGTTAAAACTAAATTCTCATTTGACAGGCACTATTCAAATCAACCGCAAATTTATACCAGATCAAGTAATTTGATGTTATGGGCGTGGAAATATAAAAGGATCGTCACCATACTTACTTCGTGCGATATTTCAGGAATATAATTTTTGTATTTACAGTTTTTTAGTTTACAGATATTTCAAAAAATCCAAACGAAAATCACCATTTCCCGCCCTTAATCTAGATGCGATAACGTCATTTACTATTACCACGTATTGCATGGTTTCAGAAAACAAGTAGATTTTGAACACTATTTACTCCATTCAAAAAATTCTGTTTATTTTTTTTTTTCTTTATTTATTTTATGGGCAAAAAGTTCTAATTCTTTTGTGGGTGAATTATTGGCGATACACGAAAAACTTTTAAAGATGTGATAATTTGATATGAACAGTATCGTAAACTGTGTCGAGAGAGAGTTTACGGTTTTGTCTATAATACAGGGGTCGTAAGATATTTGAAAAAATATAATTTTAAATTGCAATTACCAGTAAAAATTTCAATATTTACCGAAGTGTGCCGTAACTTTGAAGTTCGACGAGATGTGAAGGACACTATATACAGGGTGTATTCACAATCAAATTACATCGATTTTGCGAAAGTTCCATAGTGGTCCGCAGGAGGACGATAGAAAAACAATGCGTCCCCCTAGGACAAGAATCCGCGAAGCGCCTTCTTTTTATAAAAAAAAGGTGATTCGCGCTATTTGCTACAAACTTGCCCCACTCACCGACGATTTTTCGAAGGCAATCTTGTTGATAATTGTATTAATCTCCAAGAATCTCTCGATTTATGTTCGGAATTTATAAACAAAAGTACCAAATACACACTCTCGTTTGGGCAGATAATGGAACCTCATCGTGTCGACCGAATTTTAGTAACTCTACGTGATTGCGTTACAATAAGCCACAATCGCTCGGGAGGGTAAATACGGGGCGACATTTCAGCAGCTAGTTGCGATAAAGCGAATTAACGGGGCGTGCAACGTTGCTTGGCGGCGGCTCTGGACAGATTTTCGAGTGGTTATATTGTCAGCCGGAAAGGACCAGCTGCAGAAGTGGCTCGAAGACGAAATATCTCCGATTTATCAAAACCTTAAAATGTCGAGCTGGTATAGCATGCGGGGTAAAATTTCATTTTTGCTTTAAGGAAAGTAAAAAAAAAAAAAATAGATAGATTTGGTTTCTACCGTTTTTTTTTAAATTCGTACGTGGTTGTATTGTTCAATAAATTATTTGTTTTTTTTACAGAAATATAAATACACAAAGTTGATGATGATTCCTCCGAAACGTCGCACTTCATTTGAATTGACTAATTTCGCATTGTCGTAATGTAAACGTATTGTTCTTGTTAGAAAACACCATATTAGGCTTTTGGATACCTACAAGGTGACAAAAAGAACGTTTCGAATATTATGTCCATATTGGTTAAATATGGCAAAATATTTTCTTCATTTCAGTCGTCGAAAAAATCATTTTTATTCAGAGTTATACTTTGAGGCACATTGATTTTGAATTCTTAGCTTCTAAGTTTTATTCTTCTTCTTCTTCATTGCCAACACGTGTTCCCCGGAAGACGAGGTCCAGCATTCTCGCCACCGTTTTGGCGGTCTTCCTTGAGATCTTTTCCCTACTGGCTCGTTTATTTTTGCGTTCTTGACGATTCTGCCATCTTACATTCTTTTTATGTGTTTGTTCCAAAATCTTCGTCTTTGCCTCACCCACCTTTCTACGTCTTGTATTCCGCACTGCTGTCTGATGTCCTCATTCCGTATTCTGTCATACAAAGTTTTACCCCGTATAGTTCTTAATATTTTCATTTCAGCTGTTCTCGTCATTTGTAGAGTTCTGTTTGTATCTACTCTTGTTTCTGCTGCGTATGTTATAATGGGTAAGTTTTATTGACTTGGGTAAGAATGGCAAGGCTGAAATTATGTGTATTAGTAGTATCAAACTTTGCCAATACAATATCTCCAAGGATTAGCTGCAAACCACTTCCGACTCTGCGAAATAATAGTATATTACGTACACAGTGTAGATCCGCTGATGATTGACTTAGATCGCATGAATTTAGTGAATAGATATTAACGATGATACTCAGTTATATTTTTCTTTTGTTGCTAGTGAAGCTTTATATGTCGCTACTAAAATAAATAGATCTAAAAATAATTTCAGATCCCATGCCGCCTATTTCTAGTCTCCTGTTTCAGCTCTGGAATGGTGTTTGGTTTATTTATATACACTCTGCTTTTTGGATACCCCAAAAAAAATCTAGGGTAGTAAGATCACATGATCGCGGCGGCCAATTGATATCGCCGTTGCGTGAGATAATCCGACCAGGAAACTTGCCCCGCAGCAATTGCATCGTTTCTCTGGATATGTGACAAGTGGCTCCATCCTGTTGGAACGACAAATCTTCAATGTCCATGCCTGCCAACTGCTCCCAGAAAAAATCAGATATCATGTTTCGATAGCGAACACCATTAACCGTAACAGCTGCGTTCTCCGCATTATCCTCGAAAAAAAAGGGCCAAAATGCGCACAAAACAGTCACTTTTTGAGGATGCATTGCTTTTTGAACAATCTCTCTCGGATTTTCTAATTCCCAAATACGAGCATTGTGTTTGTTCACAAAGCCACCAACGTGAAAATATGCCTCATCGCTAAAGATGATTTTCTCGTATCCATTCTGCAAACAGGCGGCGCTGTTGATGATCTCGAGGTTTCAACTCCTGAGTTATTTGGACTTTATATGAATGTAGGTGCAAGTCTTTTGTTAAAATTCGCTGTGCGGTTGAATACGTAATGCCCACTTGCTCCGATCGATGACGAATCGATGTGTTCTTCGGCTACAATTTCGTCCTCTCAGAAGGTCGATTTTGCGCATTTCTTACTGAAATGTTTGAAGAACATAGCATGCTGTCTTGTTAACCTTTACATTTGTCATTGTTCACTACTGCGTTATTTATAAAATACGTTTTTTTACACCTTTATACTTTTTGCATTTGCTTTTTGTATTTTACCTTATACTGACAGACTACAATTGCGTTAATATTGTACAATATATGGTTAATAAAAATTCTTCTTCTCTCATCTGCCGTTGCCATTTTAGTATTATCCGAGTTTTCACGTTTTCCTCATTAGCGATGCGGTTAGAAGGGTATGTTTGTCCCGCCT